AAGAAAATAACTCTTCAAAGACAAGTGAAAGTCCCATCTTTTTCTGCATGCTATTTGACTGTCAGTTGATAAATTCAATCAATTCTGAGACGCACCTCATAGTTTAACAATATCATAATATAATATCAAATTAATTGTCAACTGTTACCTTTTTGAAAGTATAATTATCTCCCAAATGTATTACGTTAGCTTGATTTGGCACAATGCAACTTATTAACTTCAAAACACACTATTTGTCTGATAAAATATTTAAAATGTTACAAAAATGTACTTTCAAAACTCCTTATTATACTACAAGTGGCAGCCGTTTTATTGGATGCCCTGAATACACATCCCAGTGTTGTAAATTATTAGGATCAAATGTCTGAGGACTGCATTAGTAGTGTTGCTATCTATAGCACATGAAACAAACAAGCATGTCCACCCTCTGATTTTATCTTATTTACAAATACACACTCGTTCACCATTATTGTAATAGTTCTTGTAACAAAACCAGCCCAAAAAAATGAGAGAATCTCACCTGGAAATCAACACGACGGATTATGATTAAAATGTTCTCCACCAGCTCCAACCAGAGAAGGGTGTCCACCCAATCCCAGCAGTGTAACTTTACAACCTCAGTCCAAGAACCGCCTCAAGTCCAACTCGTCTCGTGTGACCTCTGAGAAAAGCGACACAGCTGAGTTTCCCAGTCGCGAAGAGGGTGTCATGCACTTTAATAATGACTTCCTGGCCAGAGATGATCAAAAGTGATCGTTTAAGAGCAGGTTCGGCCGATGCACTTTGGGCTGAGTGGATGGAGAGGAGATGAACTGAGAGAGATAAAGGGGAGGAGAGATAAAATGTGTCTCGCACATGTCTACAGGAAAATGTTAGGCTAGGGTTTTTTTTCGTAGAGCTGCATGTGATAGAGTTAGAAGAAACCACAATGAGTTTTTTCCAGATAAACGACAGAACATGACAAACTTCCTTTTTCCAGACGCATGGTGAACAAAAGAAGATGACAAACTTACAATGATGGTACAGTCTGCCTCAGACGTCTAACATAATGCCACAACTTCCTGTTTATGAAAACCGTAACTACAGGCTAATTTTAAAACCTGTTCTCTGTGCCCACATTAATGGCTGTAATGGAATAAAATCATAATTTGCATTATGAGCACTCTGTCATTTTTCCGTTTTACGATGCCACTGTCAGTAAAAACCTGATTGAACAGAAGAATCAAAGCCAAAACTTTTTTTTTTCACTTTTTTTTTTGACCAAACCATGCTTCTATAACAAAATGTTCTCTAATGACAATCCACCTACTGTTTCTCTGTCTGAAACATTCTGTTAAAGGGGTCATATGATGCGATTTCAATGTGTCCTTTCTCTTTGGAGTGTTACAAGCTCTTGGTGCATAAAGAAGATATGTAAAGTTGCAAACACTGAAGTCTCAAATCCAAAGAGATATTCTTTATAAAAGTTAAGAGTCAACCACGCCTTCCTAAAACAGCTCGTTCTAACACGCCCCCACATATCTATGTCATTATCTGGGAAGATTTGCATAACGCCGCTCAAATGTTCACGCAAAGAAAGAAGGCGTAACTTTTATTCTCGCTGTAGTATTGTTGTTGCCGCCGCCATGTCGTGAAGACGCTGTGTTTCGTTGTGAAAGTGAAACTACTTTGTTTGGTCTTCCAAAAGAGGACGATATCTGCTTCGTCATGCCTGGAGCTGATCCGTGCTGGTCACTGAGGAAATACAACAACTTTGTGCTGTGGATCACCAGATCGGCTTTCACCGTGAACGAAGCGGAGTCCAGTCCGGGGTCGTCACATGTGGTTGCCGCAAGCCCGCCGGATGCTCCTTCGTCGAATCTGCCGGCCTCACTCTAGCCCGCCGTGTGTGACGCTGTGTTTCGTTGTGAAAGCGAAACTACTTTGTTTGGTCATCCAAAAATGGACACGACTAGAAATCAGTGGTTAAGTTGTATTTACAACACTGTTCCAGAACACTTCAACCCAAATATTCAGATGTGTCCAGCGCATTTTATGGAGGACAGTTTCCTGATCCTGGGAGAGTAGACTACAATGGCATCTGTTCTGACTCAAAGACTGTAAGTACGTTGTTTATATTTAAAGAGTTTTTATGTTTTATATTTTTTATATTTAAAGCGAGTTTTTATGTTTTATATTTTTTTGGGCAGTGTAGAGTAGGGCTTGTTGTTTGTCATTTCTCCGATCACAAATGCAGACATGGTTTTATGTTTACACGGCGCAATGCAACGCAACGCGTAAAAAGACAGTATAAGTCATTATAATCCATAATTATGTCCCCACTGCATCAACGAATGCCTCGTTTATAATGGGTTTTCATGTTTTTGAATCATCGCTCCGGCCTGACACTGCATCATAGTATGGTAAGGGGCGTAACATTTCCATCTCACGCTTGAGGTATTCGGCCAATCACAACGCACTGGATAGCTGGCCAATCACAGCACACCTTGTTTTTCAGACCGATGAGCTTTGTAAAAATTAACACGTTTCAGAAAGGCGGGGCATAGAGGAGAAATAATAATGTACATTATGTGGAAAATAATGTGTTTTTTTAACCTTAAACCGCATAAACACATTTCATTACACCAAATACACAAAATAATGTTATTTTTAGCAGCATCATATGACCCCTTTAAAGTCTGAGACTTCTGGGAAATTCGGTTAAACCTCTATAAACCTAATATTCTCTTAATTGATTATTTAAAAGTGCATTCCATGAGGAAATGTAAAGCAGTTCACCTATATTTGATAAAAAGGTGTTTTGACCTTTCAATGAATTTCATACATTATTGACTATGTTTTAGATATGAGTCTCATTCCTTCCCTTTATAGACTCCATTATATTGTTAAATAATTCAATGCTGTACACATACTGTTTTGTGGTTGTCTGTTGCTGTTCTTGGGCTTCATTAGTTGTATTTCTTGTTTCTGCTGGTTTGCATTTTCATTTATGTTACTAACTGACTGATTTCTGAACTACACAGCTGTTTCTTGATTTATTCATGTGGCCTTCCCCTAAAACTGTCAGGGCAAATATGATACTTTCCATTTCCTAACATTTTTGACTTAGCAGAAACAATAATTTTTTTTGCAGATCTGAAACAATATAATGTTCCATTCACAGTTTAAATCAGGAAATATTTGTTTGAGTTTAAACTTAAAGCAGTTATGAGTTCAATTAATGTGAAACTCTATCAGCAGTATCTATGGCATATTGTCGATTATCACATGAAAGAGTTGTGATTGGTCCCTCAGTTTATAAAAACAAACCAAAAAAAAAAAAATGTGGTTACAATAATGCACTTAATTTCTATAGAGCAAGGCACTGGACCAGCAAAAATGTAATTACTCAATTAAATCATATATGTTAATTTGGTAAGTGTATTTGCAAATGTGTCCAGATTACAGTCCTGTAACGTTTCATTCAGCACATCAAAAAGTGATTAGAAATATCAGTTAAAACTTTAGTTTGGGGATCAATTCTCACTATCAATTAACTAAAATTAAAATGTTGCCTCAAAACTACTAATTTGCTGCGTATTAATAGTTAGTAAGGTAGTTGGGTTCTAGAATATGGTCATGCAGAATAAGTCACTAATATGTGCTTTATAAGTACTAATAAACAGCCATGCTAATAATCAACTAATTAATAGTGAGAATTGGTCCCTAAACCAAAGTTTGTGATCGATAAGGCTTAATTTGATTAGAAAAAAAAAAACAGTAAGAATATTATTTTGGAGTATTATTGTAATTTGTTTTCTATTATATTCAGTTTCAAATGTATTTCAATCCTTTGATGGCTCTGATGACTCCAGTCTTCAGTGTCACACGATCCTTCAGAAATCAGTCTAATATGCTGATTTAATATTTTTATGGAGACAGTGCTCCTTTTTTTTTTCCAGGGTTCTTTGACTCGAACTCAACATTTTTGCTTATTTTTAAGCTGAAATGATTTTCTTTGCCCACAGACGCTGTCAGTAAAGCTTAAGCCTTACTGCACCCGGAACAAGTTCTCCATGTATTTTTTTTATGTTTTTCATTCTGTCATTCTCTCTGGATAAAAAAAAAGAGAAAATCAACTTAACTCAAACCTCATGACTCAATAAGATTCATTTCAACAAATGTATGCATCACCATGTTTATTATACCTGCTGGAAATGCTCCGACATTACCTTCCACAAACTACATCATAATATCTAAGGTTACATGTGTACAAAATAGTCCTTCATAGCAATACGTTTCAAGCTAACCTAATTCTCAGTGACATGCAGCCTAATGCTCAGGTCTAGGGTCAGTTAGGAGTAATACACATCCAGTACAGCTAGTACAAAGATCAGCTGAACTAATGGGTTGCTAACAGCAGCTGATCTGAGAACAGTCTAGGTAGTCTTTGTGCACAAGGTGATAAGGTCGAAAGGGCAGTCCGCTTATCAGTCCTCATAAGACAACCTCCATTCTCAGAGGTTAAGTCACCTGCACCTGCAGGGCAAACCGATGACGATCCTGGAAAACACCAGAATGTGGGACTTCTTCCAGGTTATTTTTCAAAAAGATTCTCAGTAATATGAAAAAGTGGATATGAAACTAAAGGTGACATCACCACAGACCACAACAAAGAAAATAATCCAGCATAATAGATATGTATTTTCCTCTGCATATTGTATAATGACTGATACATATCTTGTGACCTGGGGATTATCATCTTAACGTCAATCTGTTGTGATCAACGAAACCCATCCTGGGTCATGATGGTCGATTAGTCAGTTAGTGCGATTGACTAACTTTATTCGATTAACGATTAGTCCAGTACTTTAATTTGCATATTAAACGCATGCTGCGCTTTAGCAGTATAGATCACAATGGCAAAATTTCGGTGAAATTTTGTGGGCAAAAAAAGGTATATTGTTCATGCAAGAAGTCACTTTCAGCTTTCTGTTGGTCAATGCGGCAAATATGCACGACCAATTTGAATGTGAGTGCAATCTGCTTGGGGAAATTTTTCGCACGAAACTCCCGATTGCACAGGTTCATATTGAAATGACTGGATTTTGGCCACAAAGTTTCGAGAAGCACCGGTAAATGTGACCACACCTTTAGACAGTTTTGACCATTAAAACTCTTAAAACATTTTGCGCCTTTTATTCATCACCTTCAAAGCACCACAGTCAGGAAAGACACATTCAGAAGAACGTCTCTGGCCATTGTGTCACATCTTGCACCGTTTTTTAAATGTCCTGCAACAAGTTTTTAAGATGCTGTAAATAGTCCAAATTTTAAAACCATGTCCATTGAGATCTTTCGGTCGGCTCTTTTTCATTTTGGTGAGGTACGGTCACATTAGCAAAATTTTGCAGGCAAAAAACTTCCACTGTCTATTGTCAGTAGTTTAGCGACGAATGAAGCTCCATTCACACAGAATTCACTTTCAAACCAAGTAGCTTTCTGTTGGTAAATGCGGCAAATGCGTGTGACCAATTTCAACCAGTTGCGAAATCTGCATGGGGAAATCTTTCGTCCTCACATAAAATTCATGATTGTGTGGATTTCCATTGAACAGACTGGATTTTGCCTGCAAAAATATGCAGAATATGGGTAAATGTGACCGCATCTTCAAAAAGACATCTAGTTAGGTGAGGCGAACCCAAAACCAGCCAAATTAAATTAGCGCTTAGTTAAAACAGACTTGTCAATTTCGGGAAAAAAATGCCTACGTATGATGAACAGTCTGAATTTGTCTCTGTAAAGGTCTCGGATGGGATCCAAAACAGTTCTTTCTCAGCCTTAATATCTGCATTCCAGAGTTCAGATGGCCTGCCAAAGACACCCGAAAGGTGACTACCTCCATCCTACGCTCGTGGTGCACTGAAAATTGCTATAGTTCGGGCATGTACTCTTCATTCCTCTCGCACTCCTCCTCGGTTTCTTCTTCAAAGGATGCTAACACGCTCTGTCAGCCCCTGCATGTCGGCGTCCTCCACACCCTCCTGCTCGTCGTCATCGGACGCAGGTGGCGGGGGCACCAGGTGAGGAGGGTAGGGCAGTGTGTGGTCACGGGCGTACTGCTGCCAGCGGCTGTCATCGCTCTCGTGGGTTATGTAACGCTCCCCAAGCTTTGACTCCAGCTCTCGGAGGTCCAACCAAGCCTGGTAATCCTGAAAGAGTAGACGGGGGTGGTGGTGGAGGGAGAGAGAGAGAGAAATAAGGAGATGATAAAGACAGAAGGACGCCACAGCTAATGATGATTCGTTTTGTTTGCGGTGTCTAAAAGCACTTTACTTAAGAAGCTTATTTGTCCTTAATGTAATTTGCTGCTCAAACATAAAACTCTCTTTTACTGCAAATCCATACTTAGATTTTGTCATCTCGGGTTGTTTTACAAATTTGTCATTTTTCCATCTTTCATGTGGAGCTTTTAATGTAATTGCAGACCTATTTCCAATTTTTTTCATGTGAATAAAACAGCCTTATCCTTGTCTAGATTATCCTTTTTACTTCTGTCTCTAATTTAATTCAGAAATTATCTTTTTAACAGTATTTTAATAAATAATATAATGTATGTAATATTACATATTACATTATTAACTAACCTATACGGCGTGATGGCTTAAATTAAGCCAAATCTGTAATCTGCTAATTTCAACCCTATTACTCAATCTTTTATTTTATCAGTAGCTTTAAACTACGATATTTGATTAATGTTCATGTTTTTCTTTATTTATTTCCATATAATTAAATATAAAATTGCTATTTATATATATATATATTTTTTTTTTTTACCTCATATAAAATATTATAGCACATACATTACCATTCAAAAGTTTGGGGGTCTGTAAGATTTTGCCAGGTTTTTTTAAAAAGGAAACTCTTATGCTCACCAAGGCTGCATTTATTTAATGCAGTAAAAACAGCAATTTTGTAAACTATTGTTACAATCTAAAATAATTGTTTTCTATTGTGATATATATTTTCAAATGCAAGTTATTCATGTGATGCAAAGTGTTCAGTCTTCAGTTTTTTTGGTGCTCCAGAAAAATTTATTATTAGAATTATTAGTATTATTAATGTTGTGCTACTTAATATATTTTGTGGAAACCATGATACAGTTTTCAGGATACAATGATGCATAGTAAAATGACTTATTTTAATGTGATCTCCTAAAACAACATTTTCTCTTTTTTTTATTATTTATTTATTTTTCACCGATTTAAAAAAATTAAAATAAAAAATAAAAAGTTATATATATATATATATATATATATATATATATATATG